AGTTATAAAAATATTAGGAAGACAAAGTAAACGAAGTCGCTAAATCATGGCAAACACAGCGCAAAGTAGCAGGCGCCCAAGAGCCTGAGTCATCACTGGAGTCTGAGCCTGAATCCGAACTTTCTTCACCCTCGGGAGGCGCAGGCGCAGCGTCGACGATGGGGCGCCCACTCGACATGAATTCAATCACATAGTTGGCCATCTCCTTAACATCCCAGTTGATGGTAGGATGATCAGCTTCGAGCTTCCTCTTCAAAATAAGATTACTGTTGAGGGACGTCTGAGCTTTTAGCGCCAGATCTGAGGTAGGCGCCTCCGAGGCACCTTTCTTCGCTTTAAGCGCCTCCAGCTCCTCCTGGCGCCTCTTATTCTCTTGGGCTAGGATCTTCTTCTCCTTTTGCAACGCCTTCTTCTCCTCGATGAGAAGGTCAATCTCGCTCCTTTGGGCGCCCGCCTCCTTGTCCAGATCGTTGTTTTCCTTCATGAGCTTGGCAACCTCCTCATGATGCGCCCTCTTAGCAGTCTCGAGCTGGGCCTCATACTCCACTTTCAGTTTCTGCTTCTCCTCATCGATGGACTTTTGGACGAGAGAGGCTGCTTTTGCAGCCTTGAGATTGGCATTCTCGCACGCCTCCGCTAGCTCCGCCTGGCGCCTCTACGCAGTCTCTAAATCATCCTTCATCACGCTAAGAGAGTTGCAGGCCTCCACTTCTCCAAGGCGCAGCGCCTCGTTTGCCAGTGTGCCATTCTTGGCGAGGAACAGCATCTAACAAAGCAAATCAATAAATAAAAAAAAATAGCAAGTCAATAGTAGTTGCATATGAACAACGGGTACGAAAGGAAAGCACGTCCGAGCGCATACCTGGGCACCCAGGCATGCGACCTCTCCCCATAAATTCGCGCCCTCAACCCCACTGGGCGCCCTCAACACCTCGGGCGCATGGAAGGCAAACCCAAGCGCGGAGCCTCTCTCCAAGGCAGATCTGTCCGAGCAAGAGATGTTGACCCTATGCCTTGGCGGTTGTAGCCATTTTTCGACAAAGGCCGGGACTCGCTCCTCTGCACTGGTGCGCTTCTTCTTGCTGGGCGCCGAGGAATCATCCCCCACCTGCTTCCTCTTCAATTTCTCCCCAAGAGGGACATCGTCGATATCCAACTCAGGATCAGAAGGAATACGCGCCTCCAAGTCGGGTTGCACGGCGGTGGGCGCCACCTCTTCCTCCACTTGGGGAGCACTCGGCGCCTTTTGCGGTATGATACGCCGCGGGCTTGAGCGCCTCTTTCCTTGTTTGGCAATGACGGGCGCATCGGCCTTAACTCCGGAAGAGGAAGACTTGCTCTTCCCTTTCTTCGAAGCGCTCTTCCGTGAGCGCGAGGTCCCTTTGCCGCCGAAGTCAGGCGCCTTGTAGTCCAGACCCAAGCCCTCAAGTTGGGTCTTCATCAAAGAGGCAACGGTGGTGTAATCCACACCTATAGCAAAGTACAAATGAGTAAGTAAGGGCATGATAACTGTTATGCTTGAATAAAACAACATGGGCGCATTCACACTTTTCAATGACACGGATGCGCTACTAGGCGCCTACCTACCGTCGGCATAGTACTCATGTAAGACAGGAGTCCTAGCAGCTGTGGAACTAAGGTTCACCGGATGGATGGATAATAGGCGCGCATGCTCCTTCTCAGTATCGGATAAGTCCACCTCCACATTGAAGTGTGTGGTACTACCTATCTTCCAATCCCGTATGAAGCGCTCGCCGCTCTCATAAAATGATTCTGCTCGTGCCTTGATAAAAAGTAACCCCTATACCACTTCCTCCCCAGCTTGGGGCAGTCTTCTACAAAGTGACCCGGAATGTCTAGGCGCCTCTGTAGAGACAAGCAGTTGTCACTACTGGTCATCGTGAAGAAGTACCGGAAAAGCTTAAACGTCGGGGCAATGTTGTTCTGCCGACACTTAAGCTTGAACAAGATGTGAATCAAGAAGACCGAAGGAGATAGGCGCCCAAGAGAACAGGCGCATGTGGTGAGGATTCCTTCCAAAATCGAATCTAAGGGGAAGCGTAGCCCGAATTTAAAATACTCCCTATATATACCGAGCCACCGTGGACCAATGGCGCCTACCCTCGTGATCGGAGATGCAGGCGCATAGGACCATGTGCGAGGCGGATTGCAGGATGTAATCAATCGGTGCATTTCTGCTATCTTGATGGTGGACGTGTGTTTTGGCCCGGCGCGCCTCACAGACAGTTTGCTGGTGTTACCGGGCGCCTCCCCTTGTGGCCATGTATCTTCCCAAGCAACTATCTTGAACGACCCATCTTCGGGGGCGTCTGAATCGATGGATGTCGGGGAAACGGCCAAATCACTCGACTCTGATGAGTTAGGCGCGGAGCCTAAAAGTGATCCAAGCGCCTTTGGTCAATACTAGGGACCCAATACCTCTCGTGGGCGCCTAGCAAAGGTTCAAAACGAATTGGAAAATTTAAAAAGCAGAAGAAAAAGGGCATTACCCTGATTGGTCGTGGCAGGCGCTTGTGTGGTGGCGGCGGGTGCAGCTGAGGCCGTCGCTGCAGTAGGCGCCTCCTCGTTGAGGGGCGTAGGAGAAGGGATGGATGTTGGTTTTCTAGGCGCCTCCTTGTGAGGTCGAGGCGCACGTTGGTCTTGGTTGCGAAGCGGGTCGGGAGATAGGTGCTGCTCGAGCACATCGAGCACACTAGGCGCCGCGTTCCCACCCCTTTCGGCGGAATTCGTAGTTGCACCAGAGTCCGAGTGAGACATGCTTGCAAGGTATAGTCGGGCGCACAGGTAAGAGAGAAGAGGGCGCGTGGGCTAGAGAGAGGGGAGAGCAATTAGGGAGAAGAGCTAGAGAGAGAAACAATTGTGGGCCGAATGAAGAATGGAGGAGAGGAAAGTGTGTATTTATAAGAGGAGGGGGGAGTTGAAAGGTCACCTCGAGATATGCGCGCGTTTAACGGGCAGATCCTCGCCCTCCGTTCAAAATTCGAATTTTGAATTTGAATTTTGAAATTTTAATTTTGAACGCACGCCGAGTGGGGGCGAGAAGTACGGTCGCGCGCCTCGATAACGAGGACACACTTGGAACAAGGATGGGGCGCATGAGCCACGACAGGCGTGTTAAAGGGGAGGGAGTTGATCGGTCGCATGATGGGTGCGCAAACTGCAGCGGACACATTAAAATCAAGGAAGGCGCAGGGGCAGTGAATGAGGTGAACGCAGGCGCCCCTCTAAGCCGAATGATGATGTCCAATGAAATAGATATGAAAAGTGGAAAATTGTAACGCATGAAGTGGGGGGCAAGCTGGACCTAGGCGCCCCACTGGTCGAAAGGTCAAGGATCAATCAAGTAAGACGTGCCTTTGAATTGCCTCGCGCTTCCGGAAATTGCGCGCATATATAGGATCATAGTTAGGCGCCCACCTGTGAGCGCCTAACTGGGGGGCAATTGTTGGGGTAATAGAGATAAGCCCATGAAAGTCAAAAGCCTGTTGGGCCTGAAGCCCATTTATGGCCTCTCTAGGGCATGACCTTGGTAACCCTAGGAGAAGAGGGGCGCATAGCGACAAAATAGACTAGCGGACAAGGGAGTACGGATGGGCGAAATCGGAAGGGCGCCACGAGGCAAGTGGTCCCCCTATGCGCCCCGACGTGGAAGACGGACAGCGTGCCACGTGTAGGCGCGTAGGCGTTAGACCAGACCAGGCATTTAATGCTGGGATGACGTAAGGCTTGGTGGCAGGAGTTGGTCGGGGGTTGGTCGAGGAGCTCGAGTAGTATAAATAGCACTCGGTAGGTAGCATTTAAGCAGGTCGGTTTTCTCACACTAAAACTTCTCTCTTCACTTCTCTCTCTAGAAACACTACTGACTTGATCGTTCGAGTGCTAACGGAGGGGCTTAGCCCTCTAGACGTTAGTCTTGCAGGGCCCAAGCGCTCGGCGTGGAAGGAATTAAGCCCTACACGGGTGGAAAAGTATCGTGGCACAAACAATAACCATAAACAAACCTATTATATCATGAGGTCAACAAAACAAGGTCATTTTCTAAATACGATTCAAAGAATATGATCCTAAAACATCCATTAATACATACTATAGACTACAATGTTTTTTAAATTATTATGCTCCAACTCTTGATACATTTACTAAGTAATAATTAACTAACATAATCTTGTTGACAAGGGGGAAAGTGAAAGAGTGAAAGGAGAATTGAGAGAAATGAATTAGATTTTGATTAAAGTGGTTACTTAATTGCATTTCTACTATTTATTTTCTCGAGTTATCATCATCATCATTGATAGATTACAATTTAATCCACATATTTTTTGATATGTGAAGAAATTCTCTTGGTGGGGCGGGTATGGGTATGAGTATGGAGCGGCGGAGGCTAAAACCATACCCGCCCCATACCCATCAAACTTTTTGCCGGTTTTACCCATACCCGCCCCATACCCAGTCAAAGCGGGGATTCCCCGCGTTGACTGGGTCGGGAGCGGTCGGGTACCCGCGACCATGGGTTTGATTGCCATCCCTACCGGTCACCACATCTCTTCCCATATTTGGCGAAGTCATGATACCTCTTTCTACTGTCATGCTCTGCTCGCATGCAAAACTTTTGCCCCAAAAGCTACGTAAATGCAACAGAGGTGGTGGCAGAGGACCAGCAAGAGCAAAGAGAGGGAAGTCCATTACACCACGCCAAAAATTTGGCAGTAGACTGGCAGGTCCAGGAAGCAAGAGAGCAAGGAAACACACAACGGAGAAAGCAAAATGGTTGTAACTAAATTCCCGCTGGAACCCTCCCAAACTATAAAAAAAATCTTCATAATCCTCCTCAGTCATGAATCATTGCATCCGATTATGCTACTCTAAGTTTCATCGCCTGAAAGCACAGTCAAGGATTGGTACACATTGGTGAGATTGGAGAATTGATCAAAGGGAGGCATGTCATTAGTCATGACAACGTATGACTGAATCAGAAGTCTTATTCCGGAATCAAATTCATGAAAACAATGAAATTCTTGGTTATTACGTCTGCCAGGAGGCATGTCTCAATTGACATTAGTGCCAAAACCAGATTCATTAAAACAATCAAGAGTTTATGATTTACGTGAAGTCCATTCCATTTGTCCAGTTTCACTTCCACCAAGTTAGCAGGGCAGCCTACATTAGAGTAGAGCGCTTACTATTTGCTGATGTCTGAAGCTGCTCTGGACTCGATCTACTTTGACTACTGCTATATACATCCAAAATCAAATTCTACATACATTGCAAAAATGGGCGATTCAAAGTCTTGAGCTTTCCTACCCCTTTTCCCTCTATCGACTTGGCCTCTTCTTCTGTAGACTCAGCTGGCACAAAGAGGGGAAGGTATTCAGATTTTTGCACACAGATGAACCATCAACGAAAAAGCTTTGACAACATTTTATAAAATGCACCTTTGTACTTCTCCAGCCACCAGTTTTCTGTTGTGGGGAGAACGAGAATCTCTCAATGGGATCTGGAGCTACATGTTTACCAGCACAACCATTCTTTCGGACATGGTTCTGCAATCAAGTTAATTCGTGATATTAATGTTTCATCTCGGTGTAAAATACTCCATAGAAGTCAGAAAATGTGATTATTTTATGAACTTCTGAATCAAGATTTAGTTTAATGGGAAATGTTTCGACATCTCAATACTAGCTGATCATATTTCCACATCTGCATTTAGACATGAGAGCTAACTTACATAGTTCTTTGATGCTTTGTCTCCTGAAGCTCCCACAGTCTGAATTTCAAGACGATCGTAGAAAAGAAGTATCTGCATTATGGGAAAGTAGTTCAAGAATTTAGGATCGCCCGTCTCAATCTATGTGCAAGCAAAGGTGCAGCTCGTCCGAGAGCATAACTTTAAAATCCAGTTCCAGCCAACTTACTTTGTTAAGCAACTCAACATTTGATGCATCAGTTGCCATGACTTGAACTCCTAGACAATGGGGCTGACTGCAGAATGGACAAAGAACAGACTTGAAAACACATCCATCTTCCTCGGACCAAGCCCCTTTACTTGGAGCATCTTCTCGAGTACTGTTACAAAGATGATGATCTACTGATGATATGTCTGCTAAGAGAAGAGGCACAGATGTTGACATAGTCTCAGCTTGACTCTGCATTCCTTCCTTTGCGAGGGCCTGTAAGTGAACTTTTGATGATGAAGTCGACAAGCATTCAATATAGAGGTTGTTCTCAGGACGACCCAATGGTTTTTTGCAAAGCAAGCAGGAAACCCGTAGTTTTTTCTTTAGAGCTGGACCAAAAGACACAGGCTGCTGCAGGCCACTCGAGAAAGGGCTTCTTGTTAAGCTGGCACATCCTGAATTTCCTGCATTGCAACAATCAGACTGTTGCTGAGGAGAAGTAAATAAAGCTGAATCCAGCAATTTCCTTCTTTTCTGGGTACGAGAATTAGCACTCGGAACCATAGCAGCATCAATTTCTGGTGTTGGACTAAAGGTAGATATACGAAACACTTTCTCAGGGCTGCATATCGAGGAACCCTGGACCTGGTAAGTAACTTCACTAGGAGTTGCTATTCCAGTAGAGGTTTGAATCATACTAGAGCCATAATCCATAGGCGCAGTAGATGAAGGTTCTGGGCTTCCAGTGGATGGGGTCCCATTCCCAACCATATCTGGAGTTTCTCTGACAAGAGTCGATTCAGGATCTAGAGAGTCAGATGCCTCAGCAAACCTGCAGGCAAACACAAGGAGATCGCTCAAGTAATATAATCATTTCTGCTGCCTATTGTCATTACAAAACATGTAAGGGAAATTAAGAGAATGCCTTTCCATTTCAGCTGGAATTTTCAAGTGCTATTACCTAGTGGCTTTAGGAGATTCACAATCTAGGTCAATAACTTTGCAGCTTTCAATGTCATCTTCTATTATAATTGGCTTGACTTCACCTTTGAAGTCAAAGTTCGCAGAAGGACTACATTTTTGTGCAGCAACCAGCTTCTGCCCACAACAGCCCGGCTTGCTCCACCTGTGATCGTTCTCACCTGTACAATTATTTTCCTGATCCTTGGTGATATCTTTCTCCACCTTAACCAGAAAATTTGGCACCGGGCTGGGTGTATTTATAGCAACAGCTTCCTGTAAGCAGGTTCATATAGGAAAAAGTGTGACCTCTAATGCATCAAACGCGCATAAACTAGAAATTAACATATGTTGTATGCAAAAGATAGGATGATAAAATGGAAACCTTGGCATCACTGAAAAAGCTTTTTAATCTTTCAATTGACTCGTCAAAACTATCATGATGTTGAATGGATTTTCTGAGCCACTTGGAAATGTATGCTAAGTTCCTCTCTTCCTGATAACGCTCATCTGCTCACAAAAATAGAGTTCAGCTTGATGAAACAAAGAATGGAAGGACGAGTTCAAGGAGCTGCATTGGGATTTGGGAACCATATCAGCTTTTTTGTCGTTTCTCAAATATAGGTTAATAAAGAAAAACTTATATCAAAGGTATTCTATGACTATGAAGAAAAACAACATCGATTATTTAAATCAATGCACTGTCTGAACCTGAGGCAGAATATTAATGATAATAGAGTTTCCATGTCAAAGGAAGCTCCATGTCAAGCCTTACAGTACCCACTGATAAGACTTGTAAAATTTATTAGATAATGAAAAATATGGCATGATGTCGTCGTTCAAGCATGATGCAGACACAACTGGACCAAGACTGACAATCAACATCTATCTGAATCTAACTTCAGAAGACTATCAACCAAGGAATTTTCAAAATTGGAAACCTTACAAATTATTATTTGCAGTTAAGGACATTGATAGAAAAGAGGTAGTTATGTCTTAGTAAAAGGTACAGATCCAATCAGATGTATATGAATGGTGGTTCAAAATGAACGAAGAGAGAGAATTACCTAAAAGGATGATTGCTCCATAGTCATTTTTATGACGTATGCATCGTCCTGAAAATATTAACCATAGTCCTGCTTAAGGAAACTGATTATAGAAAAGCATGCAACAAAATGCCATGTAATGTGCAAGTGCTCTCCAGTACTTGATCAGGATAAAAAAAATATATCAAAGCGAGTTTTAGAAAGAAGATACTAAAACGTGCATTTAAAAGGCTCAATGTGACTAGGAACAAATTTAGAGGAATATGTGAGCAAGAACAAAATCCAAGTCATGCAAGAGCATACCTGCAGCTTGATTCAGTGCGCGGAAAGCTTGGTAGCAGTACCACTCACTTCCACTTATAAGGTTCTTAGTTGATTTGAATGTATCATTGTACTTCTTCTTCAAGCAAACTTGAACATCATTACTACAGAAAATTATTGATCAGAACATCCATTTTTTTGAATCGGAAGACTTAGGGGACTGGTTAGGGATCTTACATGTTTGGAAAAGGAATGCCGACTATTATCTGAAATTGTCAAGGGCCCACAACAAAGAAACAAGAATAATCATGTGGGGCAAAAGCAAGAATAGAGAGCATACTACCATTCATGGCAGCAATCATTTGATGACACCTAATACCAACTGAAGAAATAAAACTTGATATGGATTGATGATCACCACCACTTCAAGAAAAGCAACATAATTCAAACAAGGATACAACTACTCGAGCATTATCATCTGAAAAATCTATTCCTTCTGAGACCTGCAGACAACAGTAGGTTACTTCGTTCAGAAGATTCAAATTCAAACATTAATATGAATCATTAGAAATGGCTGCCGCACCTTTCCTCTGCAAACAGCAAGAAAAGCACCTCCTCTTTTCTTGATGACCGTTTTTTTGGTCCTTTTCTTATTTCCGACAGGAACTTTCTCACTCCCAGAAATTGACTTGTAGTAACCCTTGAGAAGAGAGTCAAACTCCTCCTGGTTTCCTCCTCTTGGCTCTGCACAAACCGAAGAAAGCCTTAGCTAATTTATATTTATCCACACACACACGGGGAAAAAACTGCAAAGGCCTTACCAACAAAGAGGGGCTTCTGTGCATGTAATTTCGACCATTGACCTGTTTCTTGCCACCGCTTGCATAGTTTTCCCATCATACTATAACTTGGAAAGAACACAAGAGCGCCGGCGGGAACAACCTTGAAAATTTCCTCCAAGGATTTCCCAAGTGCATCCTTTACAAGCGAGGATGACATTATCTTTCACTGGCTTATGGAAGAGGTTTCTTGTATTATCCAAAGCAAATTAGACAGTAAAAGTTACCTGGAAGGCAAATGTAGATGCAGTCTTATAACTAGCATTCAACGGATAATGTTCAGGACTTGAGGATATGACTGAAGTCCAAACCTACAATTCAACGATAAACACTGAAAAAAGCATGTAGACAAGAACAAAGGATAGGTAATTAAAGAGGGAAATCGAGTAGTACCTGTGATTTTATATTAACCACGTGTGGGGCTTCTATAGAAGTACCAAAGGTCGCTCCAAGCTCAGATGGGAAGGAATTCATAGGTGACAGAGTCCTAAGAGACCCAGAAACATTATATGAGAAACAAATGCATTGGAAGAGTAAAATACTTCCGTTGAATGAAGAACATTAAAGCCTGATGCTTACCCAGATGTTAGAATGACTGACAAGGAAAGATCAGTGATGTCCTTGAACACAACAGCTGGATTCAAGCACCACAAGCTAAAAGTATGTGTCCAGCCAGTAACAATGTTTTCTGATAAAAAAAAGTGACGTAAAAATGTTCAAGGATGAAGGATATAAAATAGTCCTAATAAAAGATGAGTAATGCGTGAAATAAAATGACAAATGCCAAACATACTTGTGTCTTTTTTTACAGTTCGCTGGACAGCAAGCTGATAATCAGAAACATGGGATCCGTTTCTTGAGAAAAAATATGTGAGCGAGGAGAAGAGACCTGGTAATAATTCGAAAATCAGTAAATGGTATTCTAAAGTTGAAAGCCCAATAAGCGGTGACCATGAATATGACCTTCCAATATAGTGACGGACATGCCACTTAAAGGAGCAAATTCTGCCTCTTTATCAGTTGCTTCTTTAATTGCCTGTGCCAACAGAAGATTGATATATAGTCAACTTCTGAGAAGCAACCAAACAAAAAATAAGCAAACCAAATATTCAATCTAGGATGAAGAACCTTTAGGGCACACTCCAACAAGATTGGAAAGCATTGTTGTGTGATATTAGCTTCTTGGAGTTCCCTTAAAGCTTGATCACCTGTCCAACTACAAGAGATTGCAGCATGAAAGCAACTTTTAGTAATAAAACATAACATAGAAACCTTGATGCATTATATACTCAAGAGTCAAGACAAGCACAAATATGAGACATGACAGCTCACCAAGAGTAGAATTGCTGAAATTCACGCATCTCAAGTGTACTTTTCTTCCGCTCCATCCAACTCAACAGGTCCTAAAGCACATCTTAGTCGTTATTCCAGGAAAGACGGCAACATTCTGAATATAGGACTTATGAGCAGATAACCGGAACAATTATTACCTGTATCATTTCATACAGTGGCTGGTATATCATCGCATCACCTGAACAAACTTGGCCTAATTCGATCTGTAGTTCTGGGGTAGCACATTACTGTAATAAGTAGCAGATGACAGAAAACAAAGCAAAAGAAAATATATAATTATAACCTACTCCCTAGAGCATCTTCGTCGAGATCCACGCTACCAGCATCCCGAGCAATGTCTTCGATATTGCTGTCGATTAAGGAAACAGTGTCATAAGTCAACTAGAAAAACATTACCTAACTAAATGCACAAAATCTAGTTTAATCATTTGGGTTCATATGAATGACTGGATAAGAGATTGCAACTCATACTGGGCTTCATCAAGAACAAGAATGGCTCCTTTGATGTCAACTTCCATCGCACCCCGAACAATAGGATTAATTACATAACTATATGGACAGAAAACCAACTGTGCCTCCTCTGCCATTGAGCGAGCAGCATAGTATGGGCAACCTGGAACAAGAGTCAACCATTTGAGGTACATTGAATTGAATAGAAAGAGGCATACATGGTACGCAAACTAGAGAAGAAATAACTGCTACTGGTCCTTTATCCTTTTTCGATAACTAATATCATGCGTGTTATGACAGGGAGGAAATAGGACCTTTAACAACATTTCCAACTTTCACAAGATCTTCAATGTCATGGACCTCATGGCATCCCCCCTTTTGAAGTGATGTATGTGTCTTGACTTTATTCATATTTCTGATACATCGGAAAACATTATCAGCAGGCTCAAATTAACAAGATAAGGAGACATGGAGCTGAAATTCAACTTACTTGAAGTATGAGCATCCACCTTCAGGATCCTTCATGAGCAGTTTACTGTAAATTTAACGAAGAACTCAAATGAGGATCGGAAAGAAAGCAATCCTTTTTATACAGCAAAGGAAATATCTATATGGCTAAAGCTGGACCATTCTTCATCGACATTGCCAGACTGAATAACAGATTTGTTTGTGCAGTAATGTTTCCTTGAAGCCTGGAAAGTATAGTAAAAAAGCCATCAAGCTTTGCACTTAAATTTCAGTTAAGATCAAATCAATGAAGAACAGACCCAAGACAACCCAAGCAACTCACCAGTATAGCCATTGGAACCCGGTAAGCAGTTTTCCTATATTCTCGTACCACTTGGGAAATCTGTGAGTGCGTCCTCCTTCAATGAAACAGTAATAGAGAAACCCCAACAAGCAACTCTTCAATTAGTTTCAATATTTGATAAATGACTCTAAAGAGGGCAAAGCAAATACGCACGATGCATAAAAGATAGTAGGCGCCATTTTCTTCTTCTGCGCTTTACTGCTCGGCGCCGCTTGAGATGTCGGCTCCGTCATCCCCGGCGGCAAATTTCCTAAAAACAACATCCATCGTCAGCCCAATGTCAAAACCCTAGAAGAAGAAAGTGCTAAAATCCCACTATTGGGAATTCAGCCACAATCTTGCAAATGTTCACTTCGCTTACTCGAAGGCTGCGTTTCAGGGACGAATCCGCCGCCATGACCCAAAGGATCGCTCATCGCCTCAGGATCGGGTTTGGAGTGGGTAAGATTGGCGTACTGATTCTTCAGCTTTTGGGTCTGCTGCCATGCCAGAGTCGAACACAGGAGCGACAGAGATTTCCCGGTACCCGTCGGAGACTCGAGCAAAGCATGGCAGTGCCCCTCCCTCTGGGCTCGCTCCAGCGTCGAAATGACCCGACCCATGAACGCCAGCTGCGTTCCGTACGGCTGGTATGGGAACTCCACTGGGATTCCTCCTACATGATAAGCCCTCTTGGAATTGGAGCTAGGGTTTTGATTCGCCGGAGACGACGATTGATGTTCAGACACCATTGCTCCTGGAGAGATCAGTGATGGCGTTGGTGAGGAGTAAAAGTGAAAATGAGGCTTGTTTGTTAGAACTGGGGACGATTTGGCTCGGTGAATCAAGCCTTTTGGTGGGAACTCCTTTGGCGGGAGTTTTCGAGTTTCCTTTTTCGTTTATGGCGGCAAATCTGATTTTACTTCTCGCCGGACGGCGGGAGCTCCGTGGACGGTGGAACTGTCCTTATGTGGGCCTGGTGAAGAGATTGCTTATTGCAGCTTCGGCCCTTTAACTATGGTCCATATTGTTGGCCCAGCATTTCCTTTCTACCTTAGCCTTTGGGCTCTCGCTCTCTCTTGTCTTCCCTGATGTCGTCGTACTTCTGACCGGAGTGACCACTCACTTCGACGTCGGCCTCTGGATTCCCGGCTAGAGAATGGCGTTTCGATCCCAGCTATTCGGCGGACGGCTCTCGCGGCGAAGCTCCGACGCTGCCAAGTTTCTCTTTCCATTCACCTGCCAATCGCTTTCCTCTCTCGCAGCTTTAACCTCCGATGCTCAGGTGGACGGTAACGAACTACCGATTCTCAAGGACTCCAACCCCGACGAAAGTCAGGTTCTCAGCGAGCTCTCAAAATTGCTTCCGGTTTTCCGCAGAATTCCTACCACACAAATCATCGGAGATTCAGTTATTAGAGTAGAGGGAAGAGCCGCCGTCGTCGATCGGTTTCTATCCCCGGAGGAGCGACTCCGAGGAGTGTTCCTTCAGAAGTTGAAAGGCACGCACGCAATCGAGACTGCTTTAACCAATTCCTGCGTGGAATTGACTGTCGATGTCATGGCTAAAGTTCTGAACAGAGGTAATTTGGGAGGTGAATCGATGGTTACCTTCTTCCACTGGGCGATTAAACAGCCGGCGGTGGCTAAAGACATTCATGGTTACAATATCCTTATCAGAGCTCTAGGCAGAAGAAAATACGTCGACTTCCTGCTGAAGGCTCTGCAAGAACTGAAAGCTGAAGGTATAAACCCCGACATTGAAACTCTGTCAATTGTGATGGATAGTTTAGTTAAAGCTCATAGAGTCTGCAAGGCAATACAAATGTTTGGAGATGGAGAAGAATACGGATTTGGATGCAATACGGAATCTTTGAATGTCCTATTGCAGTGTCTCTGTAGAAGGTCTCATGTTGGTGCTGCAACTTCCTACTTGAACAAGATGAAAGGGAGGGTGCCATTCAATGCCACAACGTATAATGTTGTGATTGGTGGCTGGTCGAAATGCGGTAGAGTTGATGAGGTCGAGCGGGTTTTGGAGACAATGATAGATGATGGTTTTAATCCTGATTGCTCAACTTTCAGTTTTCTACTAGAGGGCTTAGGAAGAGCTGGCAGGATTGAAGATGCTGTGGAAGTTTTTAAGAAGATGGAGGAGAAAGGCTGTGTGCCAGATACTTCAGTTTACAATGCAATGATTGGTAATTTTATCTCAGCTGGGAAGTTTGATGAGTGCATAAAATACTACAGGTGTTTATTGAGTAGCAACAGTGAACCAAATGCTGATACTTATACGAATTTGATTTCTGGCCTGATCAAATCTCGAAAGGTAGCTGATGCACTTGAAATCTTTGATGAGATGCTTGAACGAGGGATTGTTCCTACTTCTGGAGATGTGACTTGTTTTCTGCAACCTCTTTGTAGCTTTGGTCCGCCTCATGCTGCTATGTTGATTTATAAGAAAGCACAAAAGGCTGGGTGTGAGATATCGCTCACAGGATATAAGTTGCTGCTGATGCGGCTCTCGAGATTTGGGAAATGTGGGATGCTGTTGAGTATATGGGATGATCTTCAGACGAGCGGTTATTCTTCTGATATGGAAGTTTATGAGTATGTGGTGAATGGACTGTGCAACATAGGACAGCTGGAGAATGCTGTGCTTGTGATGGAGGAAGCTCTGCGTGGAGGGTTCTGCCCAAGCAAGCTAATTTATAGCAAACTGAATCACAAGTTGCTTGCTTCAAGCAAAGTCGAGAGGGCTTACAGGCTGTTTTTGAAAGTTAAAGCTGCACGCGAGGTTGATAATGCTCGTAGGTTTTGGCGACGAAATGGCTGGCACTATTGAGAATATGATGTGGTTCCAGATGTAACTGCAATGTCAGCTTGAGAAACTCATTAGGATCGTGTCTATAGTTTGCTGAGTGTTTATGTGATGTGGGTTGCAGATTTGGATGCATGCTAATCATAGTCGTAGTGGCTTTCTTGGTCAAGCAGAATTTTACAATGCTGTTAATCTTGTGACGGTCGCATAGAGCCACAGAGCAAGCGAGAGCTGATGCCAGAGATTGTAAAAGCTGCTCTATGTGGTCCTGCTGCAGCTGAAATCCAGCACCACAAATTAATCTTGCAGCCGTTCCTGCACCCCAATCGAGCTCAGTTGGTGCTCACAATCACAAATGGGATGCCTGCCTCAGCGTCAGCTCAGACTCCTGGCATTAGGCCACAGGGTGTTCCATCTGCGGGTATGGCCTCAAGTTACTTTCCATCTCAACGGATTCAGTTTATGAGATCAGCTCTGCCGATTCCTCCAGTATCTGACCCTTGGCCACCTCAGGCACTGCTCCTGTGGCAGCCCCTCGACCACCTCCGATAACACATCTCTTACAGCTCCTCAACTGGCTCAGGCTACCATGATGATTAGCTCTCAGCCAATGCCTACTAGTACTGCTTATTGTCAAGCCCCCCAACCCATGGCTTGTGGTGCTGGTGGTCTTGGCCCATCGAGTTCGGGTATCACGACTCATTGGCTGGGTGGAAGAAGTGGTGGATCTATACCTGGTGTTGGCCCTACAGGTGCCAGCCCAACGTCTAGTTTGCAGCAACGTCTTCCTCATCCATTGTTACCGACTCTAAGATATAGTTCGGAGATGACCTGTTCTCAGTTACTCCTGCAAAAAGGAGGAACCTCCAAAACCAACTTATTCTGCTGCTAATGCATCTCCAACATCGGCTCTTGCGCCGGTTTCTTCTGTGGGTCAAGCCCCTGTCATACCCAACTCACTTTGCACGTTGCAGGATGCTCTATTCCAGCAATCCCTGTGAGGTCTCCAACGGGTCCAATCATTGCCCCCAATAGGGCAGCACGTTTCAGAATTAGACAAAGGTGTTTACAGCAGAAATTCACATACCCTCTACCAGTTACAGTCAGCATACGAACATGATACGATGAATGTCGAACAATGTGAGGACTGATCAAGCTTCCATGTTTACAGCCGAGTTGGTCGAAGTTTTGACAGCATGAGAAGGCAGCTGAGATGGAAGTTTTGAATGTTAATACACCAGCGAGGGAACAGTTATGGAAGATGGATGAAGACTGATGTAACATTATGATAGTTTTACAATGTCCCTTCCATATGCTGTTTACCACCACTGCCCTAATCCTTTCTTTGGCAATTATGCGGCCATTTGATTTTTAATTAGATGTTACCTACGAAATTCAAATCTGGGACCTCCAGCTCTTTAAGACTAGCGGTATTACCATCGGACCAAATCCTTATTCGCTGCTAAACCATATTTTCTTCACCTGGAATTTAGACGTAGGCACTCCTTCTCGTAAAACTTAGACCATCTCTCCTACTAAAATGCTGCTGGAAACAGGATCCATGTATCAGAACTCAGAAGACGTTTCTATATCCAGTAACCATGTGTCCTGCTATTTCTACTTCTTCTTCTTCTTCATTTCTCAGATGATCATTACTTTATTTCGTGTATGAAAATAATACTATGAACGTGCCGCAAAACATTGCCCAAATACTTATATGTCTTAAAATACATAGACGTTGTTACATTCTTATCTTTTTACCTACTTATATAAGGAAACAAAACATGGGAGATATTATTATTCATGCTAACACTTTTTTTTATTAGCATGATGCTAACACTTGTTCAAATCAATAGGAATATTTCGTTTGGATGCTAACACTTGTTCAAATCAATAGGAATATTTCGTTTGGATGACTTTCTAATTTAAATGAGTTGAGCACAATTAATAAAGGGGAATGGATGGAGAGACACGCTTGGTATTATGCAAAATTGGGAGAGTGGGAGGGAACCAACGTATCTTGCATTAATTAAACACATATCACAAACACAAGAAACCACACAACAAACCTTAGAAAGTAGATCACAACTTCACCACACCACAAGTTCATAAAAGCACATCACAACTCCCACGAAGCATACCACAAATCTCGTAAGCACACCACAAGTTTATTAAAACAACCACAAGCCTTAGAAATGAGACCAAAACCTCAACACATTACAAGTTTATAAAATCACCAAATTTCTTAAAAAGTAGACGACAAGTCTCATGAAGCATACCACAAGTCCTATAAAAATAAAAATACACCACAAGTTTATTAAACTGACCACAAGTCTCATTAACCATACCACAAGTTTCTTAATAGCAGTCCTATTTGTAAATTTCAAAAAGTTAAGATATCAAAATGTTAATAAAAAAATTTAGGTAATAAAATGTAATTTTTAATCAATATTTTTAGGACTTATATGTAAAGAAATTGATTTTAGGTACAAAAATTAAGATTTATTAAGTTCATGTACCAAAACTGCAATTTTATATGTGAAATCTCGTGAAAGCAGCCACAAACATTAGAAAAGAAACCACAACATCAACCCACCACAAGTAAGCAGACTATAAATCCCATAAAACACACCACAAGTCTCATAAAGCATACCACAAGTTTCTCAATAGTAGACCTATTTTTAAATTCTAAAATTTTCAGATATAAAAATGTAAGAAGAAAACATTTTAGATACTAAAATGTAATTTTATCAATATTTTTCAAGACTTTTATGTGAATAAATATTTTTAAACTAAATATTAAGATCTATTAAATTCAGGTATCAAAACTATATTTTTTGCATGTGAAACCCAATAAAGCAATGTATATGAGGAGAGGTGCAGGAATAAAAAGGAGATTTAGTTATTAAAAGTGTTGGCAATTTGGCATGGTGCAAACACTTAAAGAGTGTTAAGATTGTCAAACCGGTTTATATCTACCGTTATACCGAGTTAACAAGTGAAATGATGTGATCAGTGGTATGATCGATTTGTCTCGGTTCATTCCGGCTTAATAAAATACGACATTCCAAGTAAAATAACAAATACTCATTAGTTAAATACAATATTTAATATCAATATCTAAATTTTTATACTTGAATCTAACAAATTAAATCAACTTTTAACTTTTATATTCATAAGACACATAAAAATATATTTTTATCAATCAAATTTACTAAATGACGTCATTTTACGTATACTTTGTAAATCGATCATTCGGTCATACCAGTAGTGTTTATACCGACTCCACGATCGACAGCGGTTGAACCAGGCTCAACCAGCCGGCATGACAACCACACCCTATCTCCTCCCTTATTACTGACCAACCAACAGTAAAAGATGTGTTTTCATTCATAAAAAAAAACAGTAAAAGATGTGTTTTCTGATTAATAAAGCCGAGCACAAATTCCAGGGGGAAAACCAACAGTAAAAGATAAAAAAGGTTGTATAATTCATAAAAAAATGAAATACAAACTATTGTACGGTGACACGTCAGCTTCAAAACAAGCCATTGATGTCCAATTTCCATCTAGCCAATTGTAAGATATGAATCTCCAAAGTAGACACCATGAAACTGTTTTTACACTGAAACAACAGATTAGGTCGGCCTAATCCTATATGAGGTAGACCGAAAAGTGCATGTCAACGTAGCAAAGTCCCAAACTATTTTGTATGCTTTTAATAAGGTGTGTGACTATAAAAGTACGGATGTGGTTAATGTTATTGCTTAAAATATACATAGACTAAAAATGGAAAGTAAGAGTTTGTTAATATTATTACTGTAAATGCGTAGACCGTCGTTCATTCTTATCTTTTTCATTGACCACATTGAATGTTTCAATTTAATCAAAACGGTAAAAGCGAAATTTACAATATGAACTTCAAATAACTAAGAAATTCTTTCTCACGATATTCTCGGAGGCCGGTATTATCTTTTGAAAGAAAAAAACATTTCCTCTCTATATAAAGGCAAATAACACTCACAAATACAAAACAATTCAAATTGAAATACCCAAAGAAAATTCGAGCGGAAAGAAAGTGTAAGTGTTTTACAAATATGTTGAAGCATGCTTCAATGCCATGGTTTTTTTAGATGTTTACTCATTTTTTATTACTTTTTATTTGTTACAGGGAAATTAAAGATGAATATTGGGCGTCCCACCTCGAGTTGTGTCCTGATGTTTGTTTTATTATGGTCAGTATTATTGTTAGAATCTAACGTCATTGCAGCCAAAAAGTTATTTGGCAAATCAAGAAAACAACTCTCTCATTTTGATAAGCATGTCGTTGCCACTATTCAGGTACATTAATTAATAAATAAATTTTGGCACAAATATTCATTCTTCCTATTATAGTTGCGATTAATAGCATCAACTTGGCTTTTGATGCATTTACTATGTCCCTTGCCACATAGACTATCCATGGAGACACATATAATTGTGTGGATTTTTACAAACAACCAGCATTTGACCATCCTTTATTGAAGAATCGTAGATTTGATTATCAGGTATATGAGTGTTGATCATTACATTTTTGTTGTGATTCTTTTTGCAATGCGTTTAATTAAAATACATGGTATGTATCAATATGTAATAACTATATATGTTTTTGTTTGTAAATGTAGTTGAACTCTTCGTTACAAGGCTTTAAAGTAAGAGCAGCCGAATCAGACTCATTTGGTAGCGAACCCTCAGACATATGGTTAAATGGTAAAGGATGTCCAATTGGAACAGTGCCAATTAGAAAAACTACAAAAACGGATTTACTCAAAGCAAATTTAGATGCTGCCGTTACATCAAACGACAATTCGGGCATTCGTGTAAGTTATTAATTGTTTGAGAATATTTATGATATATTCTTAAATTCGGGTACATAGAATGCACAATTATTATTTGTATTGGTGAACAAATAGTTAATTTAATATTCAATTTATTTTATCAGCTAATATGGAATTTACTTATATATTGGGGTTTTTATACATACTTTAATCATATTTACATTTTGGTTGTTGTACCATACATTTTGGTACATAGGTTGCGGTACTCAGGTCTACTGGGGACAAAAGATATCGTGGAGCTGGAATGTACACTAGTGTATATAATCATGACGTTCAAGGCAATCAATACACTTCTAGTCGTTTCAAATTGAATAATGGTCCTGATAGTATTGCAGTTGGATGGGTAGTAAGTAACTAATTTATCATAACTAGTTCCATTTCATCCTTTCCTAATGATGTAGTTACACTATGATAAATTAATTATATGATTACACAATAATTACATTTTCCTTTTTTTTTTTGCTTAAGGTTAATCCGAGCCTGTACCATGATACAAACACTCGACTTTTCATCTACACAATTGTGAGTATTTTCTGAATTATTATAAATAGTACTGTCACAATAATAATATATTTTGCTATTATCATTATATCAAAAGGAGGGGAGAACACTATTTAAATAAATATATTTATACTTTTCAGACAAAGGATGTGCATTGCTACAACACCTACTGCCCTGGATTTGTGGTGACGAATCATGAAATACCATTGGATGTTATACTTTCTCCTGTTTCCAGACGAGGTGGACCAATATATGAAATAAAATTCTTTATTATGAAGGTAATTTATTAATACTCAGCCAAAACCTAGATATACATATGTCTTAGTGTTATTTTCATGGATTTATTTGCCGATATACAATATGTTTATTTTATTTCAATAGTTGAATTAAATTGTCGAGCAAAATTATTGATCGATTGTTTTGTTGTGCAAGCAGGATCATTACAGTGGAGATTGGGTTCTCATGTTTGGAAATCATGATAAGGTTTTGGGATTTTGGCCGAGGGACATTTTCACTGGATTAGCAGGTTTTGCTAACTACGCGGAATGGGGAGGAGAAATTTACAGTCCTCCGGGTACTGTCACTCCACGAATGGGATCTGGTTGCCGACCTTATGGAGACCCAAAGCTCGATGGTTATGCTAGAACAATCACTATTGTAGATGAAAATGAGAAGATTGATTATGATCCCGCGGATTGTAAAATCTATCAAAATGATAGAGTACACTATGGCGCGATTGATAAAGGAAATGTTGGGGGTACTTGGAACCGCCTTATCGAGTTTGGCGGGAATAGCTTGATGTATAATCCAAATCTTCCTTATGCTTGTTGAGAGCCAATTAGCAACTTTTTTGTTAGGAAAATATTAATAAAAGTTTGTTTCCTCTTTTAAAGTTTGCGTTACGAGTGCACAAGATGTTTGATTTTCGATAGTTATCACAAGTTCGAGACATCAAGTCACTAAAAAAGGCTAAATATGATTCCTTTAACAATGTTGAATTTAATGAATCGATCGGTGTCCAAGCAATCTATGAGTGACAAAGTGACAAGTTTTAAAAGATGAGTCGATTTACTTGGGTTTTTTTTCTAAAAAATTCCTTAAGGTTTGGTTTGGATAGTCATGAAACCCTCGAACTAGATAAGCCAAAAATGGTTGGTTAAGTCCTTGTAGTGTGTGACCAAAACTTAATCATCAGCGGTAACGACTAACCAAAAGCGATAACCATAGTACAAATCGTTACAGAACCAAAATCGTGTCGATGTCGGTTTTGGATAATCATTCTCCTTGTTTTCGTTCTTTTAATGATATTTTTCACCGAAGCCAATCAAACTCATTTTTCAACAACAATTTATAGTCGGTAATAAAAATCGCTAAGGCATGAGCTTAATTGGTCTGATTCTGTTTATTCAAGGGGGGATATGAAAACCAGTTTAGCAACCTTAAACTTACTAGTTTCTACTATTATGGGTTGTGGCTCGTCAGTTGAAAGAAGAATGGGTCGTCCCTGGAAATTTGGTAGATCAAATAACAAGCTGTTGGTGGAAATCTGATGATTGAATAACGTCCTAGACAGTTAAATAAATGTATATGAACAATCGAGTTAATGTGTTACCGACCATGATTTTGAAGTAAGAATATTGTTACACCTCGTTCTTCCAAAAGTCAAAATGACTATTATACCTTTGGATCAAGTTTCACCGTATTATCGATGAGGATTAAAAATATGAACTAATAATTCAAAGTTCAAACGGTGCCGAGGTGCTGGAAGATAGGGAGGAGCGGACTGGCGCCGTGGACATTGGTCCAAAACGATGGGGATTGACGGAAGCAAAGGGAGGGCTTCTCCCAGGACACGTGCTAGCTGAGGCAACAGGAAGATACATGCATGGGCTATTCAACGGGAAGGGTAATTGCGTTAGATGGAAGCTCATTCAAAGAGGTAATTCACCAGGTTATGAGAACGTGGACATGGACTTTAGGTTATGAGTTATTGTTAAAGTTTAAGAAACAAGTTCTTTTTAAGAAATACTTCACCTTCAAGAAGGTGAAGACGTTTTAAGTGATTTTAGTCGCTGGCGCCAGTCCGTTGCCATTTGAGATATTCATATAGAGCAGCAGTTATGCTCTTGAGATCTTTGAGACAGAGCAGCAGTTATGCTCTTGAGATATTTAAGTTGAGCAACAGTTATGCTCTTGAGAATCGTGGAAGAAGAGCCTTCCACGATAAGTTTAAGTTTAAGGAAAGCCTGGAGGGCTTCTCATACGTATGAGTTGGGCAACCGGACTAGCTAGTGAGGGATCTCCGTGTCAGTCAAGTATTTAATTCAAGCTTTGAGATTTAAGAATGGAGAGTAACAGTAACTCCTATACAGTTTTAAGAGTGGAAGTACAAACAACTTCCACCAATTTAAGTAAGTGTTTTTAGTAAAGTGCTAAGCATTAGAAGTTTAAACGTAAGGTCGTAGACTGACTCCATCTCACTCACCAGTTTGAAGAGCTAAAGGAGGAGCTAGAGGAGCGGTTCGTGAGCAGCGAGTTTGAGGGCAGCCAGCTAGAGGAGGACAATATAAGCTTTACGGAGGATGCTTAGTCAAGGTTTTCAGCAGCAACAACATTAGAGATTATTAGTTATTTACATTTGTGATTATGAGTATAGACTGGATATCATTTTGAGATTTTAAGTATTGAGTTTGTCCATGTGTTAGGGCATTGCTTTAAACTCCAAGTGTGTGTTTTCAGTATTTTATTTATGAAAATTCTTCTCGCTGCAATTTAAGATTTGAGTATTTTATTTATCAATGGCATTTTAGTAAAAGTAGTACCCGGTCGGGTTAGGGTGTTACAAATATGACTCGCTGCTATTATTTCTGGGCTAAATTACACGTTTGGTCACTCAAATTATACAAATCTTTCATGTTTGCTATCCGAATTATTTTTGTTTCTTAGTCGCCACTAACTTTAAAAAAAGATAATATCCACTAGTAAAAATGGTAATATCTATTGCATATAAAACAATATCCAAACATTATGAACTAATATCATTAAAGCCAAGACTAATATAAACTAATAAAACAACAAATACCTACACCAACCATTTTAATATGCGACCACATACGACTAATCCCAAACCGTAAAACGCAAAACAGTATACGCTAAACCATAATCACCAAACCATAAAACCTAAACCATAAATTGGTGAAATATGATTGACTAAGTTCGTGATACTAGAAACCATACTTGATGAATGTGATGGTGGATGCTTAAATAAACAAAGAATCACATGGGAATACCTAAACCATAAATTGGTTTAATATGATTGACTAAATTCGTGATACTAGAAACCATACTTGATGAATGTGATGGTAGATGCTTAAATAAACAAAGAATCACATGGGAATAGTTATCAAAAGATAATATCCACTAGTGAAAAATATAATTCCATTGCAATCAAAATAATATCCGTATCGCCCAGACTAATATCAGCTAATAAAACAAAAAATACGCATACCGGCATACCGCCCACAATCCTTAAACTAAATCCTAAATCATAATCACTATTTCATGGGCCTTCGGCCCATGGGTCCTCGGCGGGCAGCCCTAACTAAGGTTGCAAGCCTTAAGTGTAAGGACTTGATAGTGTGTTTATTTGTCTCGGCTGTATACGATTTATCTTAGCGACTCTCTCGTGCGGCTCGGGTTTGTGAGAAAAAGCCAATGTTAGCTCACTTAAGTATATGCTTACAAAAAAAGAGAAGAGAGAAACCAGATGAAAAAAAAAAGAGGTGGAGTTGAGAGAGAAAAAGTGGTTGGCATTAATTGGAGTTGGATGTTTCTTTCCCTAAAAACATCTTCCACCCAAAATAAAAGGGGGCTCACAAAGCTACTCTTTTGGCTACGGGTGGGCAACGGGAAACGGGTATTTAGGTATACCCGTACCCGTCCCGTTTTTTAAGGGTTACGGGTACCCATATTACCCGTAATATTATAAACGGATGGGACTTGGGATTGTACATTCCTAATATGGGTACCCGCGGGTTACCCGCAAATACCCGTTTGGGTAATATGGGTACCCGTCATACCCATTCAGTACAAAGGCAGAAATTCATTTCAGCCCAGCCCAATTCACTAATTCAGAACCCATTGGCCATTTCGGCCCTTACCCTTTCAATTCCATTTCGGGCCCTTACCCTTTCACTTTCAGTGAGACTCAGCGAGTCAGCGTCTTCGAAGCGAGAGACCTAGCTCGACTTCCTCATTCATTCACCACCGCGGCTTCCTTCATTCACCCTCTCATCGCGACATCCGACGGAGGCGCAGTCACCGCGGCGCCGTCTCACTCTGTTGTGACCGCGACGCCGTCTCACTCTGCTGCACCGCCTCCTTTCAATAGCAGACCAGCAACAACCAGCCAGGAGCACCGCGAGAGCGATCAATGAAGCTAATCAGAAGTGAGTGAATCGAAACGAGCAACAACCATAGTTCTAAGAGCTACAAGCAGAACCTATAGACGATTCGGTCGAATTGTTCCTTCACTGTAAGGGGCCAGAGTGACAACCACACCTCCAAGGCACGGGAGATGTTTCCATGTACAGTTGCTTCAGTTCAAACTTCCCAAAAACAGATATCTAATGGGTTCAACGCCAAAGCTCAAGGTATGATATGAACAAGGACAACGATCAAGAAACTCAAGAGCAACAACTGTTCACTTCGGTCCGACAAATTTTCTCATCATTTTCGCGATTACGGGAGCCACCTTTGGGTTTGATTGGTGCTTCGCGAGGTTGGCAGGGTTCTTCATAACTGAATGTGTAAAAATTTGCAAACCAAATATTTGTGATTGAGATGGATTTTGTGTCTTGTGATTGTTAAGCAAGTACAAGTTAAGTTTAAACTTTTGTTAAAATTTTAGTGGTTTAAACTTTGGGTATTTATGGGTAGTATGGGTACCCGTTATCCGTCCCGTACGGGTAATGGGTACCCGTTTTCCATATGGGTTTGGGATATGGGAAGGACTTTGGTATCCAAATGGGACTGGGTACCCGTTTCAAACGGGACGGGTATCCCGTCCCGTTGTCCACCCCTACTTTTGGCTCTTCTTCTTTGGCTCGGTTGGCCCATTTCCACTGGTTGGCCCAAAAAATGGTGTACTTAAGTGAGCTGACCACAAACCAACTTTCTCCTCCCTTGGATCTCGGCTGGGCTTGCGTGGACAACATCCAGGTCGTGTCAGCATCTTCTAATAAAAACATCACTTAGGAGACTAACTTTTTCGACTTGGAACAACAGCATCGTCACCGCCGTCGCTGGCATCGGGCTGCATTCGTTGATGACGGCTTAGGGTTTTAATTAATTGGGTGTGATAAAAAAAAGTGTTAAAACAAATTAGGGGTATTTTAGTCAATTTTCAACCCATTCAACAGTCATTTAACAGAAAATTAGACGGAAGGGTATATTCGTTACATTTTAATATTAGAGGGGTATATTTGTGCAAAAATTTAATAGAGGAGTAGGTTTGTTAATTTGCGATAATAGAGGGGTAGAAAATGCTATTAACAAAAAAAAAAAAAAAAGTAAAAACCCATAGTAAGTACGATCATGAATAAAAAGGGGATCTTCATCTTCCTTCCCGGCTTCCCAACACGTTTAATTCTGGGCAACTGTTAGATTCCTTAGTCTTTTGGATGAATCAATCTAGAAATGAATCAATTTAATTAATTGTCTCGTTTTATAAACGAGGCAATTAAAACGAGTCAATTCGAATTACCTTCCCCACCCCAAGTAATTGAAATTGACTCAAAACGGATCAATTCAAAATACCTCAGGCAGATTAATCCATCCAAATTTTCTGCTGGCAAACGAGGCAAAACGAGACAATTGTGTCAAAACGAGACAATTGTGTCAAATTGATCCATTACAATTCCTCGTTCAAA